AAGGCCGAAGAGGAGGCGGCCCGTAAGAAGGCCGAAGAGGAAGCGGCTCGTAAGAAGGCTGAAGAGGAAGCGGCCCGTAAGAAGGCTGAGGAGGAGGCTGCAAGTAGGAAGGCACGAAAAGAAGCGAAAAAAAGGGCGAAAGAAGAGGCGGAGCGGAAGAAGGCTGAGGAGGAAGCGGCTCGTAAGAAAGCTCGAAGGGAGGCGCGTGAAAAGGCCAAGGAAGTAGCTCGGAAGAAGGCTGAGGAGGAAGCGGCCCGTAAGAAGGCTGAAGAGGAAGCGGCCCGAAAGAAGGCCGAAGAAGAAGCGGCTCGTAAGAAGGCTGAAGAGGAAGCGGCCCGAAAGAAGGCTGAGGAAGAAGCGGCTCGTAAAAAGGCCGAAGAGGAAGCGGCCCGTAAGAAGGCTGAGGAGGAAGCGGCTCGGAAGAAAGCTGAAGAGGAAGCGGCTCGTAAGAAGGCTGAAGAGGAAGCTGCTCGTAAGAAGGCTGAGGAGGAAGCGGCCCGTAAGAAGGCTGAAGAGGAGGCGGCCCGTAAGAAGGCTGAAGAGGAAGCGGCTCGTAAGAAGGCTGAGGAGGAAGCTGCCCGTAAGAAGGCCGAAGAGGAAGCGGCCCGTAAGAAGGCTAAAGAAGAGGCAGCTCGGAAGAAGGTCAAAGAAGAGGCGGAGGCCTGTAAGAATGCTGAAGAGGAAGCAGCTCTTTCTGTGAAGGAGAAGAGAAAGTTGGCAAAAAGAAAGTTGGAGCGTTACCGCAAGCAAGTGGCACTTCGGCACCAGAAACCATCTGCGCAAGAAAAGGAAGCCCTTGTGGCAGCTGCTACGGCACAGGGTGTTATGGACGTTCCGCTGGTTCAAGTTAGTGCGCGTGGTGGTGCTGCTGCTGGAACCTCAGATGAGGCGCCTCCAACTTCGGAGGAAACACTGCTAGCCAACGCATTGATACTACCCAATGGTAATGTGACGATTGAGCGATTTGACGATAATGAGTTGCTAGCTCAGCGGCGCAGCGTTGATGATCCGTGGGATATTGGGTTGCGGTTTGACTGGAGTGTCAAGACTCTGGCAATTGGTTCACTGCCAATGTTTGGAACTACCGATCCACGGAGGATGCACCCATTCATGAAGCAGTACGAGTCGCGACCCGTGTGGTTCCTTGAAGAGGTAAGCGGTGTTAAGGCAAACAACATTCGCGAAGTGATGGATGTTCTCAAGAAGAGCCTCAAAGCCCGCTTTGTTTTTAGGAAGTAATCAACATGCATACCATTAATTTGTAGAAAAAAAAAAGTAGATATACATAAATATACTATTTCTTTCTTTTTTTTTCATCGTCCTTTACTAGGGCTTCTGAAGTATTACGTCATAATTTTACCCTTACAAACATCATAGAATTGTGTTTTGTTGTGTTTTGTTTTGTTTTTCTATTTGGCTGCGTTTTTTTTTTTTTATTATTAATACTTTGTTTGTGTTTATTATTTGCGTTTACGTAGGCGTCTGCTGCATGGAGAAAGCTCCTTCCATTGTGATCTCCTAAGAATTGTCGGTCAAAGGTCTCGGTTATAATTGACGTGTTTTTTTCTTACCTCAAAAATCATTCCTTATGGTGAAACAGGCGATCACACATACAAATGCCATTGCATGCACTTAATTTTTGTTTCTTTACTGTTCAACACTCTATTTTTCACTTAAGAATAAACATTTTTCCCGTACATTTGCTTTTGGGCATGAGAACGACTGCTGTGGTTGTAATACAGAGTTTGCTTATATCATCTACTACTCTTCTGTAGTCTTCTCTTTTTCTTTTTTCTTCTTCTTGTTATTGCTGTTGCTATTTCTGCGCTTGCAGTTCGCCTTGAGGATATTGTGGTTCCAATAGAAAATTAGTACAAAGAGTAATTCCAATTCAAAGAAAATTTGATATATAGAACAAAAAAAAAAAAATAATAATAAAGCGAAAGGGACCCCCCAAAATGCGTTCCACAACACCACCACTTTACTACAAACGTCCAGAAGCTGCCCCTGTACCTTATTATATTGCTGGTAGCACAAGAGATATTCCACCATCTTTGCGTGTTCCACAACCAACAACAGGAGCAGCAACAGCAACAACAACAAGCCGATGGAGCAATGCGATGCCAGCTGGTAACCCCCGCGTTGGATCTGTCGATCAATCAACATATGGACCACCACCAACACAACAACAACAACAACAACAACAGTGCTCTTCTAATACATTTATCCCAGTGCCTTCAGTGGCCAACCCATTTGGTATCCCCAATACATCTCCAAGAAACTCTCTGGTGGGGGAGAATCCATCAGAATTACTGCAGCAGAGCGCTGTCCGTTGGAGCACCACAGCGAATCAAAGTGCCCAAGCATTGTCATCATTGGAGACTGAAGAGGCAACACTTTTGCTAGAAGAGCAAACCATGCGGGCAAAACTTGCAGAACTTCAGTTAACACGTCAACGACAGAGTGAAGAACAGCTAAATCTCAGTCAAGGATGGGCAACAATGCTTGATCGGGAGGAACGCTATTTCATGGAGCCACCTTTGGATCTCTCAGAAGAAATCTGGGCAAGAGAACAGCAGTGTGCCCTCCTTCAGCAAGAACTCCAACAAGCCGAAACACAACTTGAGGAGCTGCGTCAAGAGCATGAAGAATATAATGCGGTTATGCAAGAGAAACAGGAGCTGGAGAAGGAAATGCAGCGTCTTCGAGAAAGTTTTATGGCAATTGAGGAGCGACGAAAGGCATGTAGATCACTGGCAGAACGCTGCTTTGATGCAGAATCTAAACGAGCTGTGGTTGGGGCACGCTATGTACGGGAGTTAGAGACACAATTAAAGGAAATGACATCTAGTGGCCCTCTAGCGGAAACCCAGAATGTACCTCCGTCACGATCCACATCGCGTGGTGTTACCTTTGCACAAAAAAGTATCATTCTTGACTTGGGTCCACAATCCGGAAAAGACTATGGCGGCCGTAAGGTTGATACAGATGAAAATGATAATGATAATAATACTGAAGGTGGAGAGGCAGGACTCACTCAGGGTATTGGTGGAACATCCGTTTGTCTCCAGGATGATGAAGATGATGATGATGATAATGATTACGCTCTTGGAGGTGGAATCGGTGGACAGAGTGCTGCGTACTCACTCAGCCTCCTCAAACGTACACGGGTTGAGGTACCAACTGCATGAAGAGTTTCTGCTTTTGGCGTTGAACCCATTTACTTTACTTTTTCACCTATAATTATTTTTATTAGATCTGTGAGTTGTGTCTCTTTTTGTTTTTTAGATATTTCAACACTTCTTGTCTCAATTATTATGATTTTAGATATCCAGGTGAAGGAAAGGAAAATAGAAAAGGAAATGAAGCCAGGGACCCTTTTTTTTTGTCTCTGTAAACCATTAGAGTAGTCAGAAGTCTCTGGGTCTGTGATTTCAGTCGAAAATAGAAAAAAGAAAATACTCAATAGATGCACTTGTACTAACAATTGTTATTTCCACCTGGTGTTTTCTTCTTTTTTTTCCCATTCCTTTTTCATTCGTCTCTATATATCATATGTGATGCGTTTGTAGCCTCTCTGTGTTTTCTGCTACCTTTTTTTCCAATCTCCCACACTATTTGAAGAGGACCTCTTAAAGGTGTGTGTGTGTAGTGCGAACAAAAAAAAACAAAAAAGGAGGTCTCTCTCTTTCCATATTTTTCTCTCTCTCTCTTTGTTTTTTTTTTGTTTTTTTTCTTCACACTCCGTGTGTATTTGCTTTAGTGAAAGTTAAAAGCCAAAAAAAAGGAAATATAAAAATATCTAAAGGAAAACCATGCGGACGCTAAGCCGGTTCGATGTCTTCCCTAAATTCGATATGAAATTTGAGCAAGACGCTCGGCAGCGTACAGTGCTTGGTGGTCTTTTTTCATTGCTGTCATTACTCGTAATCGCAGTACTTGTCGTTGGTGAGGTCCGTTATTTCTTCTCTACTGTGGAGCAACATGAAATGTACGTTGACCCTAAACTTGGTGGTATGATGAGCATTACAGTGAACCTCACATTCCCGAGTGTGCCATGTGATCTTGTCACGGCAGACGCTATTGACGCTTTTGGTGTTTTTGCAGAAGGAGTAGAACGTAACACCATCAAGACACGCGTCGACGCAGTAACTCTAGAAAGTATTACTCAAGCTAGACCCTTAGTGGATGAAAAAAAGAAGATCACAAAAGCCATTGACCCTGATGGGGCAGAGAAGGAAAACTGTCCGAGTTGTTACGGTGCAGAAAGAGACCCTGGTGATTGTTGTCCTACATGTGATGATGTTCGTCGCGCGTATACTATGCGTGGATGGGCATTTAATATTGATGATATAAGCGTTGAACAGTGTGCGGAAGAGCGTCTTCGTCAGGCCGCACTTGTCACTGGTAAAGAGGGATGTAATGTTTACGCAAAGTTTGATGTGGCTCGTGTTACAGGAAACATACATTTTATTCCAGGACGTATGTTTAATGTAATGGGACATCATTTACATGATTTTAAAGGGGAAACCGTACGTCGACTTAATCTTAGTCATATTGTACATACACTTAATTTTGGTGAACGTTTTCCAGGGCAAAATAATCCACTTGATGGAATGTCCAATATACGTGGCGCTCGAAACCCGAATGAAGCAGTAAATGGTCGATATAGCTATTTTGTAAAAGTTGTTCCCACACAGTATCAGGTCAATACATTCTTTGGAAGCAGTGATATTGTGGAGTCTAATCAGTACTCCGTCACTCAGCATTTCACTGCCAGAGAGAATAGTGAAGAGAATGCAGAAAAGGCAGGAACAAGTCAGTCACTTGTACCAGGGATATTCATTTCTTATGATTTATCTCCTATTAAAGTTTTTGTTCTTGAGACACGCCCATATTCATCTGTTGTACATCTTATTTTGCAACTTTGTGCGGTTGGAGGTGGAGTATTCACTGTAGCCGGTCTTGTGGACTCCTTCCTTTTCCACGGCATTCGTCGTGTACAACGGAAAATGAGAGAAGGTAAACAATCTTGATGGACATTCATGTCCATTAAGAACTTCTCTTATTATGTATTAATTTTTATTTGCGTGTATTAAACTTATCTTGCGCACTTCTTATTTTGGCTTTAAATGTCAGTGTTTGAAATACTCCCTTTCTCATATTTTTTTTTTTTTTGATCTTTTTTTTTTCTTCAGTATGTCACATATGCTTTACAATATATAACCAATAAGTTTCCTTACTGTTTTTCTTTTTTTTCCTATTCTTGTTTATTCCTTTATTTTATTTTATTTTTGGTATAGCTCTTGTTATTGTAGCGCTGTTATTGTGTGTGTCCCCTCATTAAGAAGAAGAAAAGAAAAAAAAGCATACATATATATAGTCTAAGAGAAAAAAAAAAAAAGAATACAAGAACATAAAAAAAAATATATAATATATGCAATACATTTTATTTTTATCTTATTTTTCAAGAAGAATGATGTTTCTCTCTCTCATTGTGATACTCTTATCTTACACTACAATTTTTGCGACAGGCTATGGAACTGTAATTGATGCCGGAACTCGTGAATGTTACGTAGAGTCTGTTGCGGCTGGTGGATCTCTTGCGTTTACATTTCGCGTAACAGATGGTGGTTCGTTTGATGTGGATGCTACCATGCATGCCACGACGTCCCCACCGCTGAATGAGATTGAAGAGACAACACGATTACACTTTAATAAACAACTGGAATTTTTGCGTGATAACGCCACCACAGTTCTTGTGAATGAGTGGCGACGGGCAAGTGAGGGAACGCAGACGTACACCGCCCCATCCGCTTCCGAGACCAAACATGGATTGCCAGCAGAAATTACCGTTTGTTTTGATAACTCCTTCTCTCGGGTATCACCAAAGTGGGTGCTTTTTCAGTTCCTCAAGCGTGATGTGCCGGAGATAGATCCCGATAGCCTCACCAAAGCTGAGGCGGAGATTGAGAAGAAATTGCACAGATACGGCAATGTGTTGTTCGATTTGGCAACTGTATCCGAACGTCTACGACAAATGGGCGAATCCGATCGTGTAAAGCATGAATCCCTCGCCGGTATTATCACAGCTGGGTTGGTGGGAAATATTGTGATCTTGCTTGTTATGGCAGTATATCAATACACCACTCTGACACGCTTTCTCATGCGTCGTAGGGCAAAGTAAAAAATAAAAAAAGGAAATACTATGGGTACACGTAAAGGAACAGACTTATTGGAATAATAATAATTATTATTTTTTCCTCGTAAATTATGTATTAACGCAGAAGAGAGAAGGATAGTGACGACCTAGAGTAAAGAATAATCGTCTGACATCGTAAATTTTTCTTGAAATTCCCTTTGAGGTCTTTATTTTTTTTTATTTTATTTTATTTTTTACATCTTTTCATGTGCACATGTCTTTTCGACTGTATGAAACACCAAATCACGCAGTCAAATGAAATAAAAAAATAAAAATAAAAAAAGAAACTGTTTGATCTTAAACTCTTGGTTAAACTTTTATTGTATTTGTATCCTTTTATTATTATTATTATTATTATTATTATTATTATTATTTATTTATTTATTTTTATTTATTTATTTTTTATTTCTAGCTTAGTACGATGCTTCGTCGACTTCACACACGCATTGTAGGGATGGGTTCTATCTGCGGTATGACGCCGTCACCACCAGCTGAAGTGTTTCTCAAATCCCTCCCACCACCGAGTGAGATAGACCCTGTTAAGTACCAACGATTTGAACGAGAAGAACGTGAACGCAAGCATACCCCTAGAAGTTGCTTACCATTAGTTCCTCCAGAACCATTCTATGATATCCAATGTGGAGCAGCAGGTCACAAACATGTAGTACTCATGACCCGAGAGGGGAACCTCATTACATTTGGTGATAATCGGTATGGACAGACAGCAGCCCCAAGAGAAGATCAACAAGAATTTGGAAATGAAATTTCCGAAAAGAAGATGTCAACAATGCGAGCCTCTGATCCAGATTGGTCACCATTGTATATTGAGCTTAATGGTGCTTTTACCTCTGATCAGCAAGCTGTGGTATGTGGTTCTAACTACACGATTGTGTATCAACCTGGTGGTCGTCGTGCTATTGGATTCGGTAATAATCACATGGGCCAACTCGGTATTGGACATAAGAATCAAGTAGATAGTGATAAGGGTTTTGCTGAATGGGATCCTAAAGCTAATTGGTGGGGCAATAATAAGAGTGTGATTCGAAATATTGTATGCGGTTTCAATCATACTTTAGTGCAATTATCTTGTGGTTCACTCTTTTCATTTGGTAGTAACACATGGGGTGAACTCGGTATTGGTTCAACTGTTTCACCCATGGAACCGGCACGAATAAGCTATTTTGAAGAAAAAGGTATTGAAATAATAAAGGTTGTAGCGGGCAATAGTTTTTCCTTATTTTTAACACGAGAAGGGAGGGTGTACGGATGTGGAGCGACAAATTTTGGGCAGCTTCCAGCGAATGAGTTTGAACCCGTTCCTGTACCCTTAACCCGGAACTTTCTGCAAGACTCAAAAAACAGTAATGGGACACAATTAATTAGAATTAAAGATATTGCATGTATGGGATCTGCGGCAGTATTTTTGAG